TTGCACATGAATGCATTTTTCTTTGGAACCCTTCCACGCTCTTTCCAAAGGAAAGACAAGATTGTTTTTGCAAGGAAGGGGACAAAATACAATATAGCTTAAAATGGTATCCATTGAGGTAGAGGAAATAGTTACCTTTGACTTTTTTGACAAAGGGCCATTTCCCCATGATGGGGAGGAAAAACAAAATCCCATGCACAGCCTGTGCTGCTGTTGCTGAAATGAAGCTCAGGTCGTACTTCAGCTACCCTGGGTAAAGAGCAGCTCAGTGTAACAGCTGGGGGTCCCTCTTCATAGAAAAATGTCAATATAAGAATTGTACATACTGTGGTTGTCTTTTTGTGTGCTGGCCTCCAAATGTTTATCAAAGATGCCATGTATTTTTCAACACAAAAGTAAATAAATAAATAAGTAAACCAACCAACACTGATGAGAACAATTGCTTAGTCTCTAAAATTTCTTTATTTGTATTCCAGTTGTTCTTACAGGTAGCTAGGCTCCCTGTGCAATCAGAAAGCCCATAAGGTGGAATTAGTACTGGCCTGTCTGTTCCAAAAGTCTGAATTGCTTGCCCTCATCTCAAGGTCTGTACAACTTCTAAAAATCTAACAGCCACTTAAGCAGCCCTTCACTTTTCAAAACGTGTTGAGGCACACCAACAACATGAGCACCTCCACTCACAAGTGAAAGCTGTGTGACAATACAGCTGCAAAAACTTCTTGGGCAAAGAAATGAATAAATAGTTAAATACCTTTATGCAGCCATGCAGGGCTAGAGCAGAGCCTCACTGCTGTGGAAAGGGACCTCCAGTTCTACCTGTGAAAGCAGGCATTGCAGTGGCTGGTGCCTGCAAGGAATGCCCAGTTCCCTCCATCATCTGCCCTGTTTACCCTCATCAGTGATTATCCTTGTCTCTGCAAACTGGCACAAATCACAGTAAGCACATGAGCAGACCGAGGCAGGAGGAATGCACAGTTGGGGGAAGAATACTGGATAACCTCTAAATGTTGCTTACAACCCTACTTTTTTTTATGTCTCAGATCTGCAGCGGCACTGAGGATGTGTAAACATCTCTGTTTATTATATTTTCCCAGAGCTGTAGTTAATGCCATTCTCGGTAGTAATATACGACCGCCATCCTGTGTTCCTGGGAGACTGCAAGGGAAGGTTTGAACGACTAGCAGACCTTTATTTGTCCTTCCTTGCCTGGGTGATGACACAGCAGGCATATGTCTTAAAGTTTATTCAATGTGCAGAACCTGAGCAGCATGTGCTTTTTGTGTTTTCCCGAGTTTCACTGAGAACCAGAGAGATAGCTTTGAAAAGTAGGGATCACAATAACAATTCACACACTTTGGAAGGAGGAATCTCCACTTCTCTCACTTGTAGTACCGTGGTGGCCCACATCTACATATTTCATATGGCAAGAGCATAGGCTGATAATCTGCTACATTGAAGAAATTCTTAAGGGATCCTTGAGCTTGCAAAAGAATAGCTGTAAAAGTAAGTTCATCTTTTCATGTTTGACAGTAACACTGATAAGAGACAAAGGATTTAGCTTGCTCATCCTGTTGTGTATCCTGTTGTGTAGCTTACAGTGAGGCCAGTTTAACTGGTTAATGCTTTCCACTGAGCTTTCAGTTCCACAGTGTTGTGGGAGAAATGGCTCATATAGATCATCAGCAACAAGAGAATGTAACAGATTTGAGGCAGAACTTTCACTGTTATTTCAGCAAAGCCTTAGGTCATTCACACAGCATGATACTCAGAAGTTGAACACAGGATACTGAAAGCAAGCATAGCAGGTCATTATTTTTAAATGTGCAGCATGAAATCACATTGCTATGGGTAATGCACTCCTTGTTCCAAATTCTGTTTCAACTTCTGGGGATTGTCTAAGTTTAGTACCTTCTTCTCCCACCTCTATCTCTTTCTACAGAGATTCTGACCACTGCTCAAATCACCTTGGAAAAGATAACCACATCAGTTCCTTAATTCTTCTGAGGGCTAAGGCTGACCCATACAATGGGCAAGCTTCCCCCCAGCCACTTCAAGCCACAGGAAGGAGAACAAAAAACAGCTCAAATAAAAGCTTTTGGCCCTAGAATGCTGGCAACTCTCAATGATTTGCAGATGGAGGATCATCTAAGCCACCACTCTGAAAAAAAAAATAAATGTATGTATACACAGACATGTAAGATACTGCTATAGATACTGCTAGCTTGCAAACATGTGGATCCTTCAAGAAACAGTGGATTTCCTTCCAGGAGTATTTCGTGGCCTGAGAAAAGTCCCTCCCAGCAAATCTTGGGTTTAGGTCACCTTGGCTAAAATACCATTATTATTAAAGCAAAACAAAAACCCACCAAAAAAACCCCCAAAACAAACCAATCCAAAACAAACACAAAACCAAAACAAAAAACAACCACAAGAACAAAAAAAACCCCATTGTGTACTTTTATGACTTTATAGTACACTTTTCCTGATTGTTCAGTGATAATTATATCACAGGAAGGCTTTAGAGCTTAATGTAAGTATATTTGATATTATCCCTTCAGGGGAATAAATAAGTCACTGTGTTAAAGAAATGAGTCTTAACAAGACAGGCTGACACAGGCATTCATTGTGATGGAGCTGGATTCTCTACCTAGCTTTATTAAACAAGTTAAAAGTTAGCTCTGTTAAACAAGTTAAAAGTTAGCTTTGTTAAACCCTGCAGCAACCCGCGGAGAAACAGTTTGTAATACGGTTTTTGTGTGGAAGCATCAATGAGGGCAAAAAGGGGCGGGCAGAAACACACCCAAGAGGTAACTCCTCCTTTCCGCACCCCAACAAGTTAACCTCGTCACAGCACCAGAAAACCGAAACGGGCAGGAAGGGCGTTTATTACCACTCCCTTTCAGCAGGACAAAGTTCTTCAATCCTTTGTGAAGGTGAGAAGCGGCAGGATCCACAAGCCGGGTATGCCCTGCCTCCCTGTGGCGGCCTGAAGAACACACGTTCTTCCACTGCTGATAGCGATGAGCAGAACATATTAACCATAAACTTCCATCCACTTGGCCAACACGGGCAAACACCTCAGGAGCTCCAAACAGCCTTATGGAAGGAAGGGGAAAACCCAGCTTGGCAGACAAATGTCTCTAATAATCTGTAAGTGCACACGGAATTTACACAGGCTGAA